GTATAGTTAAGATGTATTTGAGATTAAAATATGTTTGAATATGTTTTTATTTTAACGAAAGTGTGCCCTCTTTCAACTTTGTCTTCAGCTCTCTTATCTCATATTTCTTCTCATCTTCTCCCGTGTTCTTGGTCTATATTCCAGCTCCAATAACCAGCAATAACGACTGCTAATTCAGTGTTAGGAACCCCATCTTTTGGGAAAGAAACAAGATTTGGGCAATTTTCTATTCTTATAGAACTAAGATTGTGTAGACTGTGTAGGCCCTCGGGAAGTGAATTAAGATTTTCACATTTGCTCACATAGAGTTTGGGACATTGTTTCAGATTTTTATGGGGTCGTAAAATGTTCAGAACAATTTTCCCTACTTCATCTCGAGAAGGCATAGAAGAACTTCATTATAGCCCTAACACTTCTGTGTTATTCTTATCGCACAATATAGAATCTCTTGTTTAATGACAATCAGTTGTATTTTTTAACCTTGAAATATAAAGTTCTCCAAGAATAAACTTCAATTCTTTCAAATCTTTCAAACTAGATCCAACACCTTTAACCACGGCAAAATTAGATAAGGTTCGAATACAATTCAGTTTTTTCAATCCTAAATGCATTTCTCTTATAAGTGTTGCCCCTCTAATATCAACATGGCATAGATTGATCAAATTTCCCACTTGTAGAGACAACTTTTTGGGAGCTAAACAATTTCTTAATAACAAACTTTGTAAATTGAATAGTAAACTTGTTGACTAAGGTAGATTTATGATTTGAGTTTTAGAAAGATTAAGATACCTCAAACATTTCAAATCTCCAATTGAGTTGGATAGTTCAATCGCATGATAATTTGTTAAAGACAATGATCTCAATTTTATGAGCTTTGGCAATAAATTAGGAATGACTAGTTGACTTACGTAACTCCAAGCATATATTAACTTTGTTGGCCAAACTACCTCTCAAGAATGTCCTTAACTGCTCAACTCCACAGAAGACTTTGAAATTCTTCTCAACTTGATGCTCTCTAAATGTGTAAAAAGAATGTCGAATCCTTTCATGTCTTTGTATTTGCATGACACTCGATTCATCCTCAAATCTAGAATTTAGTTAACCAATTTAAACTAGCCTTATTGTTAATAGGCCAACCCACCAATTCAAAATCAAGCCCAAGTCCAAACAATGTAATCTGGGCTTTATGCCCACTCAAACAAATCAAACCCACCAATTAATAAAAGCGAAAAGCCCAAACAATACTGGGCCTTAAGAATGATATTAATCGGGCCCACAACAACAATTAAATCCCAAGTCAATTTAATATATCTTTCCACAAAATAAAAGCCAACCCCATATACCATTACTCATAACTTCGTGTATTTAGGCCGAATGCTTCTCCTTTTATAAGGCCTTCAATACTTCAATTTCATCAAACCAACCACAATAGTTACATATGGGCTTTAAAGCTCAAATACTATATTCATCAATTCCTACAATTATAACCCAACTATAATTCTTTCAAAACAATAACGGAAAGCTTGCTAACATGTAGCTCCACACCACCCAGTTCCAACATCATCAGATCTGTAAGTTTCCAATTTAATTTCAAGTCAAGCCAAAAAGTGTATATATATATATATATATACTAAGATGATATTAAACCTATAATGCTGGTGAAGAAAATTGCAGAAAGCAGTAGCACAACTTGCAATGAACTGTGGAGTGGAAGACAGATCTCAAGTTGATTCATCTTCATTTGGCACATTGTGTGCAACAAGTTTTCTGGTGCTCTGTTGTAATAGAAAAATATTTAGTGAAGAAATTTTAAGATAACTGCCTAAATATTACCTTGGCATCATCATACATTCTAGCTTTAATGAGAACATGAGCTGTTAAACAAAGGGAGTGAGTCAAGTGATTGAGTTCCAAACCAGGATTTCTGATGACCCAGTTGAGAAATCTCAAAGCAAGCTTCCTGTAAACCGGTTTGATTTAAGCTAACTTTTAGTCCATGTGGTTCAGACTCCCAACGGTCTATTGTAGTTTCAACATAAAAAAAACTGTTGTAGCTTTACTCTTAACAACAAGAAATATCAACAGTTCATTATCTGGAAAAATGAAAAATCAGAATTCCAACATTTGAACACAATCTCTAGAAAAATTGGCAGTATAAAAATTATTAATTCCATTATATATAATAGCTCAATATCTAAAGGGTTCAATAATTATTAATTCAATAATGCTACGGACATCGGGATTTTTGCACCAAAATATTGTACCGGCCTATATGTAACACGTCTTTGATTTTTTTAACAATTTTTTTCAAGTGAACAGCCGTCCATCAAATTTGGACGGCCGTTTACTCACATGGACGCCCGTACATATTATATGGACGGGGGTCCATATACAAGAGATGGGTGTCCCCATTTAATTGACGCCCGTCCATAAGTAAAATGGAATAATTTTTTTTTTATAAAAATTAGGGACAACCGTTCATCCATTATGGACGGCCGTCCCTTCATTTTGGACGGGCGTCCGCAAATAAGGGATGTCCGTCCTTAACCAAAATATGAAAAAAAAAAAAATTTGGGGACGGCCGTCCATAAATTTTGGACGGGCGTCCCTTACGTTTGGACGGGCGTCCATTAGGAATGGACAGTCGTCCCTTAAGTTTGGACGGACGCCCGTCCATACTTTTAAAAAAAAAAAAAAAACACCTTCTTTCTCTTCTTCTTCTTCAAGCCAAGCCAAAACTGATCGCCTCTCCGGCCACTATTAATTTACTTTTCCATATAACCATGATCCCTCTTTACACGCTACAAACTAAACCATAAAACCAATGCCAATAACTCAACTAAAGCAAACATCACACTGAGAAGTCTACACATTCACAAAAAACAATTAAAAAGAACATCCAGATAAACAATGGATTTCAAAACAAAAACTAACTATCAAAACAATTTACTTTTCCAGAAGGGACTTCTGTGGCGAGGAGCTTTTGACCTGGGCACTGGTACCCAAATCTAGCATTAACCTCCCATCCTTTACCTGGACGATGAAGGCTATGAGAGAGGTTCAGGCTTTTGCTATGTCGCTGAAGAGTTAAAATTTGCCGCCACTCAGTTCAGGCGCCTTCACAGTAGACAAGTTCAACACACCTTCAGGTTCTACTCATAACAGTGGAGGACATGAGCCGCATGCTTCATCCAAGTTGCATGGCGCCGTTATTCCAAGAGAAAGAAAATGCAACATTTCCGAAAGGAAGAAGAAGAAGCAGTATCCATGTTTAGAATTATTATTATTATTATTATTTTTAAGTATGGAGTCCAAAAGTAAAGGACGGCCGTCCATAACAGATGGACGGCCATCCGAAATGTTTATAAAAACTTTTTATTGTATTTTATTTATGGATGAGCGTCCTTTAAATGGGGACGCCCGTCCCTTGTATATGGACGCCCGTCCATATAATATGGACGGGCGTCCATGTGAGTAAACGGTCGTCCAAATTTGATGGATGGCTGTTCACTAGAAAAAAATTGTTAAAAAAATCAGAGACGTGTTACACGTAGACCGATATAATATTTTGGTGCAAAAATCCCGACGCCCGTAGCATTATTGTTATTAATTTTGGCATTGAATGAAAATCTGTGAAACATAAATGCTTTTGGGACTATCATGAATTAAAGAAAGAAATAGTTTAGACCTCTGCAATCACAGCTTACTTTAAGTCCTTTGATCCATAACATCAACTCATATGATCTATGTGATAGAACTTCACAAACCTGAAATAACAGAAGGTGAACTGAGAAGATGATATGTAGTTCATTCATTCTGTATTATAGATGAAATTCTTACCTATTTTAACATAAGGTATTTATGATATCTTAAACCTCACTTGTCTGTGTGGTTGCTTTTGCCCTGTTTTTTTCCTGCAAAGAACAATCATGCATTATAATCGCACATGTGAGGGCGGTAACCAAGGTTTGGAAGGAATGTGAGATTAAAAATATCGTACAGCCAAAGTAACTTAGTCTTATAACAAAAACAAATATCAAAAGTTCATTTTCTGCAAAGAAAAATGAGCCATGGCCATAGGCATAGCAAATCATAACCTTGGAAAGGCTTCAAGAGATTCTTCAACAACAAAATTCTGGCACTTGAACACCAAAATCTGTACACAAAATTGCGAAAAGATCAAATCAAGCTGATTCTTCTTCATCCGGATCATAGCCGTCATCCCTTTTGCACTGTTTTTTTTTCCTGCCAAGAACAATCAATCATAAGTAATTGCACAAGAGAGGATGGTAGACCGAGGTTCGGAAAGGACAATCATCTTAGCTTAGTCTTATAAAAACAAGAATATCAGCAAAATGGACACTACAAAAGCATGTTTATAGGACTAGAAATTCACAACCTTGGAAAGGCTATAACAGATTGTTCAGCAACAAAAATTTTCTTATTCTTCAGGAACTCCGCAAGACAGTCATAGAAACTTTTTAAAAACAACTGTAGTAGGCCAGCAACTCAGAATCACCGCAACCCTTTGTTGTTCACTGCAAATGAGATCTTCACAAGAAATAACTTTCAGAGTTAAAGCCCATAAATAACTCCTGAAATTTATCCTTTGAAGCATAATCGATGTTGCCCATACCTGTAGGGCTAAAATCAGCTGGAGCTCTACCAAGCATAGTGTACCATTGCAAAACATCAGAGTTTGACTCAACTGTGAAGAAACCAGGACCAAAGTATATAACAAGTTTAATATCTATGAAAATCATATACATCAAAAATTGCAAAACATCAGAATTTGACTCAGTCCAGATTTCTTTTTCTTACTTTTTGCCCACAATAGTTAGAAGACTGCATGAGGCAACGAAACAGTTAACTTCAGGAACCGAGTATCAAATAGTCCACTTGCTTCCTCTGAAAAAAGAAAAAAAATACCCTTATAGAACATAAGAAAAACAAATTGAGAGGACAATTTTCAAAATGATGCAAGAGCAATCAAATTCCAAGCTACGACATAATTTTAATGATCAACATGTAGGCCTGAAATATCACTAACAGGGAATAAAACAGAACTGAAACCTCTTACATTGTGTTACTAGCAAGATGAATGAAAAGTAAACTTACATTATTCGTGCAGTGCGGTGAGCTCTGTATCAGCCTCTGTTTTCACAACCGTCCAATCAACCTTTAAGAGTCCAAGTTTAGGGAAGGATTATATGGTGGGGATGCTCAAATCACTTTAAATTGCAATGTAAACAACAAATTCTACTAATGACATGACTTTTGCTATATTTCGACAAACCATATGGTAAAGCTACCGCTGCCATTGCCATGTTGGCATATGCATTCGAGTTGATACAATCAAGTTGGTTCCTGCCGGAGCAAATAATTATTAATCAACTGTCTGTTTAATAAAAATCTAATTTGTCTTGATAAAAGTTAATGGTGTGGGTTCTAGAAATTGACAGACCTGAATAGCCCCTAGGTGATTCCGCCTTTTCCATTCTTTCTGATGTCAAATGGACATCATTGTTCCTCCTCTGGATCTAGATGAACTAGCTGTCTATCTTAACGTACGGGATGTGGGCTATCTTGGACCAGTCTTCTCCTTCACCACGTTCGCACCGTTTCTTCAGCACATGACAACCATAAATAGTTAGTCGCAGAAGCGAGGATGGGAAGTGTGGCAAGGATGTGAGATTAGGGCAAGTAAAGACATCCAAGTTTTCAAGAGAGGTGAGATTCTGGAAACCCTTGGAAGATAGGTATTTCAAGTTTGGGAATTTTTGTAATTTTAGATGAACTAGAGAGGCTGGCAACTTCACTCCTTTTTCCTCCTCTGGAAAAGACACTGCCTCTGGGGATCCAACAATCCTAAGTTTTCGAAGGAAGATGAGTTTGTGGAAGCCCCACTCAGCAAGTGAGTTGTAGATTTTGGGATCATCAATGTCAAGTGACGTTAGATTGGTGGGAATATCTTGTTCGGGAAAGAATGCCATTTTTGGATTGTTCCATAAGGTTAGGGATTGAAGAGATTTGAGGGTGTGCATGTGACTAGGTAGGGCTTGTAGTTTCTCACATCCACTGATAAAGACTGTTAATTCAGTGTTAGGAAGTCCATCTTTTGCGAAAGAAACAAGTTTTGGGCAATTTTCTACTCTTACATAACTAAGATTGTGTAGAGTCTGTAGGCCTTCGGGAACTGATCTAAGATTTTCACATCCGCTGATCCAAACACGATCAAGAGACGAGTTATTATCAAAACTGTCCGCTTCTAACTCTAGCTTCGGGCAATCTTCAAATCGGAGGAATTTAAGTGCCTTGGGTAACTGTCCTCCTGCTATTAACGTCCTGAGATTTGAACAATAACCAATAAAAAGCCCTCTAAGTGTTGAAGGTAAGTGGTGTGTTGATGATAATTGCGTGAGAGAAGGGCATTGTGATATATTCAATTCGCAAAGAAGAGATGTAGTGGTGTTGTCCACATTCTCCTTCTGCATCAATGAAAAAGAAGAAGATGGGGAAGAAGTATAAGTATCCTCTCTATCATCCCAAATATTCCCCAATTTTTCACAATCCTCTACCCAAAGGGTTTTTAGCGATGAAGGTAGTCGGCCTCTCACAACGAACATCAGAGAAGGACAGCTAGCAACACTCAGATGCTCAATACGTGCATTGTTGTGCTTCAACCCCTCATGTAACGATGTTATGGCTTCACAATTCCAAATTTGAACTTTGGTGAGACTGGAAAGAGAACCATCTGGAAACGAAACTAGATTTGGAAGCTCAGTCAAATATAGCTCTTTAAGCAAGATAAAGCAATCCAACCCCAACCCTTGTGGTGGCTTCTCAGGACATATCACATTTGGCCACAGTTGTATGAGCTCCTCACAACCAACGATTGTTAGAGTTTCTAATTTCTGAAATTCATCCTTTGACCAACTTCTAAACCCAGCAACGTCTGATCCTTTGCATCTATTTATTTCCAGTGAGTGGAGCATAGGAAGGTTTGAGAAAGAAACCATCAATTCCTCACATTCCTTAATCACAACAGTCTCCAATAAAGGAAGAGGGTTCAGTGTTTGGGAGTCAATTGGACTATTGCATACCACGCCTTTGCATCTTTCTATTTTTAAACTGCAGAGCTCTGGAAGGCTTGTGAACGAAACAACCAATTGCTCACATTCACTAATCACAATTTCCTTTAATGAAGGAAGACGGTTAGGTAATCTTCCATAGAGTTTGGGACATTGTTTGATGGAAAGCTTTCGGAGACAAGAGAAACTTTCCACATGCAACTTTTCCTCAAAAGGATCCCACTGCTCCCATTCAGGCAGATTCTCAAAACAAAGTGTCTCTAATGATTGAAAACACTCTGAGCAATTCTCCCCATAGATCTCACAGCCTACTTTTTTAAGCATTTTCATCCCTTTAATGGTGAGGTTTTTAAGTGACCCCAATAGCCCAATCGAAGGCAAGGTTATGCAACTTTCACATCCATCCACTTTTAGGACCACCATATTGGAGAATGATGGATCTCCTATCCAAGATGAAAAATGTTTGCCGCCAAAATTATTGATTGTGAGCTCTTTAAGATTTTTATGGGGTTGTAAAATATCGAGAACCATTTTCCCTGCTTCATCTGGATAAGGCATAGAAGAACTCCATTCAAGTACTAACACTTCTAAGTCCTTCTTATCCCACAATATATAATCTCCTGTTTCATGACAATCAATTGCATTTTCTAACATCGAAATATAAAGTTCTCCACGAATAAACTTTAATTCTTTCAAATCTTTCAAACTAGATCCGATGCCTTTACCCAAAACAAAATTAGATAAAGTTCGAAGATATTTCAGTTTTTTCACTCCTAATGGCATCTCTCTTATAAGTCTTGCACCTCTAATATCAAGATGGCGAAGATTGATCAAATCTCCCATTTGTAAAGGCATCTTCTTGAGACGATAACAACAAGTTAATAACAAACTTTGTAAATTGATTAGTGAACTTGTTGACTCGGGTAGATTTGTGATTTGAGATTTAGAAAGATTGAGATACCTCAAATGTTTCAAATCACCAATTGAGTCGGGTAATTCAATCTCATGATAATTTGTTAAAGATAGTGATCTCAATTTTTGGAGCTTTGGCAATAAGTTGGGAAAGACTGACTTACTTACATAACTCTCATCTAATATTGACTTTGGTTGAGAAAATATTCTCAGGAACGTCCTTAGCTGCTCAATTCTGTGGAAAACTTCGAAATTCTTCTCAACTTCATACTTCCTAAATGTGTAAGAAGAGTGTCGAATCCTTTCACATCTTCTTATTTGCATGACACTCGATTCATCCTCTAATCTAAAACTTGTTTCTAGAGAAATCCATTGGGCCAAATCATGGACAAGGTCGTGCATCACAAATTTCAAACTATCATTACCTAATTGTTGAAAAAATGACCTTGACAATAACTCACAAAAATACTGGTCGCCTAGGTCTTCTAGTTGCTTCTTATGGTTTGATTGTTGAATAAATCCTTCTGCCATCCATAAAATTACAAGTTCTTCCTTCTTGAATTCATAATCCTTAGGAAAAATTGCACAATAAACAAAACATCTCTTAAGATGTGATGGAAGATGATAATAACTTAATTTTAATATAGGGAGAATGTTACTTTCCTTGGGCAAATCCCAAATTTCGCTGTCCAATATATCCAACCATTCAACATATTTTTGCTTAGATCGTAAAAGGCCAGCCAGCGTTCTTGCCGCCAATGGTAAGCCTTTACACTTTTTGACAACTTTCTCTCGAAGTAATTTCATATTCTTTCCTGCAGTAATAACTCTACTCTGAGATACATGCTTCTCAAATATGACCCAACAGGCATCTTCTGGCAGAAGCTCCAAGTTATAACATACTTCTAGTTCCATTGTCGATGCAACATCTTTGCTGCGTGTAGTTACAATTATTCTACTTCCTGGTGCTCCAGCCAGGAATGGAGACTTTAGGGCTTCCCACAAGTCATAATCCTTACTCCAAACATCGTCCAAGACTAGCAAGAATTTTTTCCCCGCTATCTTATTTTTCAGCTGAACCTGCACTTCATTTAAGTTCGTTAGAGTACAAGTTGATGCAGTGACTGACTCAAAAATAGCCTTGGAGATACGCAGAACATCAAAATCATCCGAGACACACGTCCATGCTCTTGGATTGAAATCTTCCATTGCCTTGTCATTATATACCTCCCGAGCAAGTGTTGTTTTGCCAACTCCTCCTAGGCCAACAATGGGTATTACCTGTAATCTGCCACCACTCTGTTTATTGCTTAACACCATTTCAAGTATCTTGGCTTTATCAGCATCTCTTCCGATAACTGCTGATTCAGTTGGCACACATGTACTAGGTAGTCTTTGCCATGCAATAGTAGATGAACCTCCAGCAATCTCTTTCAGACCAAGATAATTCTTTTCTTCACAGAGATCTTCTAAACGGCAAGTTATCTCTTCTGTCTTGGACTTCATATCAGCCTGGGAAATCAGAGCACTTTGAGTCCAAGAAGAGAAATAATCAGCAATTCTGTTTGTCGATTGTTCTGTCATCAATTCCCGCTCTAGAACCTGAGTGGCATACTCATCCAGGATGTCCTCCACATCATAAGCCAAGTCTTGGAGATCTTCCAACCACATTTTCACAGCCTCGTTCTTCAGTTGCTTCTCCTCGGCATCATTGAGCACTGCCTTGATCATTGAAAACTTTCTCTTCCACTGCTTCAACTCCGAACGTACCCCATCTTCGCATGGAAAGAGCGACAGTTTACTCGGCGCCAATCTGTCAAACAACACCTGAAGAAAAGCACCAAGAAAGACTTCTCCCACTGGCATGGTTTTGACTACGTAGGAAGAAATGATAAGAATGAATTAAAATTCTCATACAGAGAAGGATGATAATCAGATGAAGAGAAACAATCAAGAAAGAGAAGGATTATAATTAAAAAGACATTTGATACTACAAATTATACGGAATTTCCTAGCATCACAACAGCAGAGTTAATAAATCAAAATTCCAAATATAGTTTGTTTCGAAAATTTTAAAGTTTTAAGAAATGAAATTAAAAGATGATTTGAATTACAGTATAAATTATAAATTAAAAAATATATTTTAGATGAATTTATTTCACATGAAATATGAATTATATAATATATTTTCTATGTTTATCTGTGAGAAAAATTTATCTATAAAGCTATATAGCGTTGTAAACTCGACCAATAGCAATTTTTATTATCTAATTTTACTATAAAAATTATTCATTTATTGATATTTTTATTTATTTAAAAAAAATAAAAAATATACTATATTAATAAAAAAAATTAAAAAAATTAATAATATCAATTAAAATAAATTAACATACATGTCCAGTACTAGTGAAGATATAATCCTAAAAGGTTCCTTGAACTATTTGAAAAGTGGTGGTGATATGAAGGTTGTTTTTCCTTACCAGAAATTTGTGATATGATGGTCCTCTAGATTTCTTAACAGTTGATTCTGCAAACAAGCACAGTTTGCAAGATGAAGAGATGGAAATTGGTGTTTGAGTTGTCTTAATTAAGAGTTAGCTGAATTTGTGATAAGAAATTAAAAGGAGATATTAGGAGAATCGATATAGAGAATAAGAAAGAGACTCAGAAAGAGTCTAGGGAATAGAAAATAAAAAATAAAAACAACGAATTCATGGAGTTCTAATTCACACCATTGATAATTATTAACAAGACGCATGCATGAATAATATCTATATTTGTAAAAGTAACAAATTATTAAGAAAATTAGTTACTTTTACAAATGATAGCAATGTAGTAATTAAAATATTGTCCAGCATTTCAAATCGAGAAACAAACATATTTAAGTCAACAGAATGTGAAAAACACTAGTGATCGGACTCATGAAAAATAAACTTCAGGATTTTGTCCTAATTACAGATGTAAGACATATTTTTTAGAAACCAAATAAATGTATGAGAGTATAAAGATTTTTTTTTTTTTACCTGTAGTTTGTGATTTTCGGATAGTCTTGAACTTCTTGACAGTCAGTTTCTGCAAGTAAGAAAACCTTTACTCAGCTTCTCTGTTGATGATAAATGAAAAGATGGAAAGGCTTTTGAGATTAATAATGGTTTGGTGATATTAAAATATAGGGTGCTTTGTTTTAAGTGAATGTTCGTTGCACCACAATACTCATAAACAAATTATTAGTCCCCTTCCTGCCCGTAAAAAAATTGCCTCAAGATGACCATTAGACTTAAAAGAAACAAAAACGTTGGACTCCACCAGTCTTCAATTATGTTAGTAAACTAGTTTTGGCAACTATCAATATAATAATTAAACCAATAGATTAAAGTAGTGGTGGGTCGAACAACTACTAATGATAATTAATAAACCAAAGAGACAAGGAGTAACAAACATGAATTTAAGAAAAAATTTATACCTCTACAATCACAGCAACCTCTTGGTCCACAAAATAATAAAATCAAAAGGGTAATGGTGGTGACGGGCAAGTTAAAGATTGTTAACGTCATTAAGGGCGAGTAAACGGCAACGAGACGGTGATGGAAAGTACATCAATTAATGGTAACGACGCTAAAAAGAACAGTAATGGGATAAATTGCAGAAAACAGTAGCACAACTGGCAATGAACTGTGGAAGGCAGATCTCAAGTTGATTTATCTTCGTATGGATCATACACGAACTTCCAGTTTAGCTTAAGGGATGTGGGCTATCTTGGACACTCTTCTCCGTCATTTCACTGCTTTCTTTTTTTTTGTTTTCCTGCAAAGGACAATAATTCATATGTGATAAAGCGGTTTTGATAGAATTTACTCCCAAAAGTTAGCTAAGAGAAGAGGGAGTCCAACCACATGTATATACCATAATAGTCCACCAACTTAGTGATGTGTGATAAATTCAACTTCAATACTCTCACTCACGCTTGGCATGCAAGGCCGGGTCTAAACCCAAAATCGTCTCAAACAAACGTGGCTCTCATACCATGTGAATTATTCCAAAGCAAAATCAAACATTCAAAGCGAAATCAGAGAAGAGAGAAAATGAGGGTTTACTTTTCTCATTTCAAAAGAAGAGAAGGAAAATACAATACAATGCAAAAGAGGAAAAATGAGATAATATACAAAAATAATAAAAGACTAAACTAATGTTATTGTATACAAGACTAAACTACCCTCATAGTAAATATATAATAACTCTAACAATATGTAGTTGCACAAGTGAGGATGATAAAGGACAATCAATCACAATTCTACATTACCTTAGTCTCGTGAAAACAAGAAATATCAGCAACAATCATGTTCATAGGTCTAGCAAATTACAACCCTGGAAAACCTTTAACACTATGTAACTTAGTCTTAACAGAACAAAAAATATCAGCAAAATGGAAACTACATACCATGTTCATAGGCTTGGAAAATTACGACCTTGGGAAGGCTTTAACAGGTTCTTCAGCAACCAAAACACCACATTTGAGCACGTACACCTCCCAAAATAATTGTAATAAGCCAGCAACTTAGAGTCAGTACCAAACTTCAATATAACAACAAATATTTACTAATACCTAATTTTAAAACTTGTTAGACTTCAATAAATCAGCAGTGAGAATTCAAATTGTCTTAATAAGCCAAATGGCAAATGGTATAGCTTACCATTGCCAGAGTTCATACTTTTCAGTTGGCAACTGCACAAGCAAGAAATCATTAATTAAATCTCTGTTTTATAAAATCTAAATGGTATTGATAGAAGCTATTGGTGTGGGTTCTAGAGATTGATTGATCTGAATAGCCCATAAGAATGAAGTGAGGTGATTGTTCAATCCAGCCATTTCCACAATTTCTAAAAATGAACTTTCAATCCATCTTAACACAAGGGATGTGGGGTATCTTTGACCACTCTTGTCCTTCATTCCTTTGCATCGTTGTTTCAGCAATGGAGAACCTCCAATATATAGTTGCAGAAGCGAGGATGGAAGATCTGGGAAGGATGCAAAATTTGGGCAACCATAGATTGATAACCCTTCAAGAGAGGTAAGATTTTGGAAAACCTTGGGCGATAGGTATTTCAATTTTGTAAAGTTTTCAATTTTTAGAGGAGTTGGCAACTTCATCTCCTCCCCTGGAAAAGAGACTGCATTTGGGTATTTACGAATCTGAGTATTCTAAGAGAGGTGAGTTTGTGGAACCCCCACCCCGCCAGTGAGTTGTACATGTAGAGATCTTTAACCTCAAGTTATGTTAGATTGGTGGGAATTTATTCAAGTTAAGGTAATCAAATTTTCTTTTGATTATCTTAACTTGCATATTATCTAGAATCCAGTGAGCTCTATTGTTAGCCTCTGTCTTCACCTCGCTGAAAAATCAAAAAATCTGTCCAAAAGAGTAAAATACCAATGAATGTTTAGGCAAATTACTATAGTGCAATGGTTTTATTAGATGCATATCAAACGAGTGCGTTGGGTCTCAAAGCGTGAGGAATGTTAGGATCCCACATTGAAAAGGAAAAGGGTGGGCATGTGGGTTATAATGGTTTGGGCACCCTCCCTTGGCAAGCCGGTTTTCCAAGGAGAGTTCTACCCAAGCCCATGAAAGACTCATGGCCCAACCCAAATTATTGAGTTATTAGAGTGGGTTCCTATCTATTGGTATCAGAGCATGATCCTACGCCTATGTGACAGTGCACGCATGGTAGGCTGACCCGTGGCAGGCTGACCTTAGGCCTGGGCTGCTACCACGAGAAAGGGCATGGAGGCCCGAGGGAAAGGGGATCCGCGTAGTCACCTAAGGGGTAAAGAGGCCGACCGGGGTAAAGAGGCCGACGTGGACGTCGGTTGTGGAAGTGTGGTGGAATGTTAGGATCTCACATTGAAAGGGAAAAGAGTGGACATGTGGGTTATAAAGGCTTGGGCACCCTCCCTTGGCAAGCCGGTTTTCCAAGGAGAGTTCTACCCAAGCCCATGAAAGACTCATGACCCAACCCAAATTGTTGAGTTATTAGAGTGGGTTCTTATCAATTAATGTTAGGATCCCACATTGAAAAGGAAAAGGGTAGGCATGTGGGTTATAAAGGCTTGGGCACCCTCCCTTGGCAAGCCGGTTTTCCAAGGAGAGTTCTACCCAAGCCCATGAAAGACCCATGGCCCAACCCAAATTATTGAGTTATTGGAGTGGGTTCCTATCTATTGGTATCAGAGCATGATCCTACGCCTATGTGGCAGTGCACGCGTAGCAGGTTGACCTTGGGCCTAGGCTACTACCCTGAGAAAGGGCATGAAGGCCCGAGGGAAAGGGGATCTGCATAGTCACCCAAGGGGTAAAGAGGCCGATGTGGACGTCGGTTGCGGAAGCATGGTGGAATGTTAGGATCTTACATTGAAAGGGAAAAGAGTGGACATGTGGGTTATAAAGGCTTGGGCACCCTCCCTTGGCAAGCCGGTTTTTCAAGGAGAGTTCTACCAAGCCCATGAAAGACCCATGGCCCAACCCAAATTGTTGAGTTATTGGAGTGGGTCCCTATCTAGAATTAAAACTGTATTGTATTGATTGAATAGAAATGAGATTTTGACATAACAAAATGGAAACAGCAACAAGCCAAAAGAACAGATAATTCCTAGCAGTTCACGGAGCTGGGGACCTCCCTTAATGACCCTTAACTGTATTGTATTGATTGAATAGAAATGAGATTTTAACAGAAAAAAATGGAAACAGCAACAAGCCAAAAGAACAGATAATTCCCAGCAGCTCGAGGAGCTGGGGACCTCCCTTAATGACCCTTTGAAAATATGCCTATCGTTCCCTAAAACTTCCTTCCTTAATATACTAATCCCTTAACTAAAATATTCCTCCCACTAACAACTTGATTCCCCATCACGTGAATATTTCCCAACCAACTCCCACTAGCACACATGCCCACTCACACAACCAATACCCTATTGCCCTTATGCCCTTTATGCCCTTTATATTGATAGATTTTACTAATGGGAGGTCTTATCATTTTATATAGGAACTGTCTAAAATTATTAAATATATAAGAAATTGAATTGAGAATTCGAATCTCTTAACGAGCCAAATGATAGAGCTTACCACTGCCATCACAATATTGAAATGTATCCTGAAATTTGTTGCTTCTTGCAAGCATGACATAATCAAGACTCTGTTTCATAAAAATCTGCAATTGGTATGGTTTAGGTGCTAGAAATTGACAGACCTGAAAATAGCAGAAACATTAAAAGTGGAATTACTGGATTCAGTCTCTTTGTTCGTTTGTGAGACCAAATGGAGTTCATTCTTGAACAACTCTCGTCCTCAGTCCCTTTTGCATTAGTTTGTTGAGACCAAATGTTGACTTTATACTGTGAGTATTTTGTTATTTTTCAACAAATCAGCATTGTGAATTTAAATTGTCTTAACAATCTGGCTAGTAAAAATCTAAAATTGTCTTAAAGTTAATGGTGATGAATGAAATTTACATACCTGAATGGTCCACGAGAGAAGTGAGGTAATTGACCATTCAGTCTTTTCAATTGTTCTTGAAATCAAATTGACTTCATTCTTCCTCCTCTGGCTCATTTAAAAACATCACTACTGAAGGAATGTTGGCTATCTTAGACCACTCTTGTTCTTCATCCCTTTTGCATCGTTGTTTCAGTAAAGGACATCTACTAATAAATAGCTGCAGAAGCGAGGACGGAAGGTCTGGGAAGGATGTGAGATTTGGGCAATCAATGATAGACAACCATTCAAGGGAGGTGAGATTTTGAAAACCCTTGGGAGATAAATTGTCAAATAAGATAGGAGGGCAGCTCTTCCTCTGGAAAAGACACTGCATTTGGGGATCCCTCAATACAGAGTTTTCTAAGAGAGACGAGTTTGTGGAAGCCCCACTCAGCAAGCGAGTTGTAGATTTTGGGATCATCAACATCAATTGATGTTAGATTGGTGGGAATATCTTGTTCGGGAAAGAAGGCCATTTTTGGATTATTCCCTAAGGTCAGGGATCGAAGATATTTGAGGGTGTGCATGTGATTAGGTAGGCCTTGTAGTTGATGGTTTTGGAGCTGGAGAATTCTAAGGAAAATGTAGCTGTTATGTTGGGTCACACACACACTCAAGAATGTTTCACACGGGAATTGTATTTCATTGAACAGAAATGCTGAATATAAACATGGTTTGCACTGCAGTTACACCTACTCTGCAGCAGACTTACAATCAAATTTTAAACAGCCATACTTTGCTAACTATTACAAACACATCACATTACATTAGCACCTAATCAACAGCAGATTCCTAGCTGAATTCACCTAAGATAAACATTATAAAAATCAAAGAAATGCTGGTGCATTATAGTAAAAACTAACAGCAACAGAACACCAGATTTTTGCCGCCAGAATATGCAGCTCCAGTATTACAAAAATGTAACCAACTTCCTGAGTTTCCAGCATAATATCATCTTGATCAACAGTAGTTTCTCACATCCTTTGATAACGACTTCTAATTCAGTGTTAGGAAGCCCATCTTTCGGGAAAGAAACAAGATTTGTTATAGAACTAAGATTGTGTAGAGTGTGTAGGCCCTCGGGAACTGATTCAAGATTTTGACATCTGCTGATAAAAACATGCTCAAGAGACGTGCTATTATCAAAACTCTCCACTTCTAACTCTAGCTTTGGGCAACCTTCAATTGAAAAAAAAATTAAGTGCCTTGGGTAACTGTCCTCCTGCTATTAACGTCCTGAGATTTGATCAAAACCCAATCGAAAGCCTTGAGAGCGTTGAAGGTAAGTGGTGTGTTGATGATAAGTGCGTGAGAGAAGGGCATTGATATATTTCCAATGCGCAGAGAAGAGATGTAACCTTCTGCATATATCATCATATTTCCAATGCGCAGAGAAGAGATGTAACCTTCTGCATCAATGATGATATATGCAGAAGGTTACAAAATGAAAAAGGGTATTGTTCTTAATGTAGAAATTGACAAATTTAAGTTACAATACAACAAAGTCAACATTCCCACAACTTTTCTGCAAATATTGTTGTACTTACACCTTAGGAAGAACTCCAGCAACTAGTAGCTAAAGAAGCCAGTTGCTAAAATGTTTAAAAACGCAACTGTGAGTCGTAGGCCAGCGTCTTAGAATCATCAAAACTCAACCCACATGCATAGTCTTCGTAGTGTCTACCAGTGTTGGTCTAAAATCGTCTCAACTGTGCCTATCAAGCAGAGTGTATTATTAACTGCAGAGAACTACAAAACATGGCCTTAAGGTCTAGAGAATCATACATTTGAAAGGCTATAATCGAATCTTAAGCAAAAATCTCATTACTTTCCAGTGGATATAATTCTAACACTCGAAACACCAACTCCTCTGCCTTCTCTAACATTGTCTGCAAAGTTTATGATCGGTTACCATACAAAATCAGCTGGATTAGTACGACCTTGACATCTGGTACATGTCAAAAGAGTTTAGGGCATCATTAGGACTAAAACTATCAACAAATTTTGGCATTGAAACGAAACTTAGCAACAATAAAGCTAGACTTGTGAAAAAGAAACCATTTTGGAATATTATAAATTGAACTTTAGATCATAAAGAAATGGTTGAATATGCTTGCAGAAAATCATAAAGAAAGGCTAAATGTTCATGCTGTAGATTCTTACAAGTTACAATTGCCGGCAAGGATTTCTGAAACAGTGTTTGGAAGTGAATTGTCATGAGAGACTTGGGAAACCCCTTATGTCAACAGAACTATTAACTTAATAGATTTGAGATTTCCACGAAGCAGTGCTTGATTTTAGATTTTCACATTCCCATATCTTAACAGATCTAAGAGACGATTCATTATCCAATCTCTCTACTATTAACTTAGGCTTTGGGCAAACTTCAATTGTAAGAATATCTATTTATCTTTTCATGGTAATGGGTAGCAGTTCACTTGATGATAAGTTACTGAGATTTGAACAATCCCAAATCCAAAGCCGTGTGAGTGTTAAACGATATCAATTTATCTTTTCATGGTAAGGGGTATCTTTAAATTGGATAATGCTATTTGTACAAACTCTTTGCTTTAAATTTGGTAATTAAAATAATAAAGCATTATTAATTATGTAAAATAGATAAGATTTGGCAATAATTCAATGATATTCTCACAATAAAATAAATAAAAGAAGAATTTGAGAATAACAAGTCATTATCAAAAGAACAAAAAAATGAATGAAAAATAAGACATGAGTATCAATTTAAAAGGATGGTGAAATCATAAAGTAATACTTTAATTAAACAATTACTAAATTGTTTAATGCAAGTTGAAGATACAATAAGATTCTCTTTTTCTTCCAGTAAGACAAGAAAAAGCCAAAAATAATTGGCCACAATTAGGATGTCACATTGGCATAGATTCGAGAGCTACTACAACGCATAGTAAAAACAATACCTCTTATGACAACCCTTAGATCAAGATCCAAAGACCGTCCTTATCATGATCCAAACGCTAAGATGGTGGTAAAATTAGTAAATTACCTTCTAGGATAACATACTTCTAACGAGAGCATAGTGTGAACACGAAGATACACATAAGTTATTTATTAGGTCTCCCAAGTGCCCAACTTCACTTCTCATCTATATGGAGTAGTTGCTTCCTCTTTTATCTTCCAAGAAAAATCTCGTATGTATCAGATGTACCACGTTATTCATACACCAACTCAATAAATACATAACATATAACATGATTGGTGGTTTTATTGGTTTTATACAAATAACGTGATACGCTCAATGTACAGTAAACTCTCTCTGTATATGAGCTGCTGTCCACAAGAAAGGCTGGTTTTTTTCCTGGGAACATGCCAACAAGAATTTACCAGAGAGAGGACATAAAGGGCAAGTTTTGTTGCAGATTTATGGAGTTTGAGCATAAGTGTCACTTACAGATTGGGCATGAGGAGCCATAAATTAAGAGCATCAATTCTGGGACCCTGCAATGGATGTTGGTCATGTTGCATATGCCAAGTGTGTGTTCAGTCAATGAGACCCACATGCAGAGGGCAGAGAGTACCATATTCATAGCTTTGTTCCTCATTCTAGCAATCAGGAAAAATATTAAACCAACATATTCTATTTGATTGGTGAATCAAAGAATTTGACAACAAATCAGGATACATCACCAGATCATAGATGTATCCTGATTTGTTGTCAAATCAGATCCATGTTGATCACAACATTTTACCAATTTGAGATTAACTTAATTCTTCACAAGTTTGAATATTGCTTGGTACACTTTAGGCAAGTGGCTCCACCTGCATTTCCTTAAATGTAAAATGGCCTAATGACGCCAGCGGTTATCCTAAGCTTCAATTTAACACCAGAAGCTGCGTCAGATTCTAAGAGAAAATTGCATTGTCAAAAAATTAATCAATCACCAACTAGTAGGTCATCAAAAGTTGATATCAAAATATATTAACCACCCTATTCCAGATAAAATTGATTAATGGAATCTTTTCGACAATTACCAGAGCTAATCAGCAAATTGATAATCTGAGGCAGAGTTCCTGATGTCAACACATCAAAAGCAAAATTCTTTCAACAGTTTCCGTGATTCACATGATTTTCAGAAATGATATAAGGTGCTCATCACCTGAAAAGAGCATAAAACAGATTAGTCCTGAAGTAAACAAGAAATATTGTGGAAAAAAAAAATTAATCAAATAAAGACGAACCAAATCACAAGGCACTAGAGCTCCAAGTGTTTTACACTGTGTGCTCAACCCAATTAGATGGATTTCTACTAGTTCTGGCACTATTTTTTTCTCCTGTGACTAAATGATTTCAACTTCTGCAGCGCAATCATCAACCCCTCATGCAAATGTTGAGTGCTTCCATCCCAATCCCAAGATATCATTTTCCTCTCCTGTAAATCCTTTAAAAGCAGTTCACCTTTTACAAAATTCTCCTCCTTGGAAATGGTATCAATGAGAACAGTATAAGTGGTGGTATTGGGCCAAAGACCTCCTTGTTTAGTCTCTTCATATAGTTCAACTGCAGCCATAACATCACCATGTGCACAAAGGCCTGAAATGAGAACATTATATGCAACCACATCAAGCTTCACTCCGCAGTGTTCCATTATTCCTTTCAACTTCAGGGCCTCTACAAAGTTAGCTTCTTTGCAGAATTTGTACATCAGAGTCGTAAAAGTAGCAACAGTTGGAACCAGTCTCATCCTCAGCATGCGATTAAGAACCAGCATTGCTTCTTCAACCTTCCCACATATTGCAAGACCTCTTACCATTGCACTCTCAGCTACATCACAGGGACTGACTTGACGTGCCTCCATCTCATCTCTTAGCTTGAATGCTCCTTGTAGATCACCCATTCTACACATACCATTAATTAAGGTAATACATTGTGTAAGTTTAGGTGTGAAACCCCTGTCTGACATGTCATGCACAACGGAATGGGATTCTTGGAAAGCAAAAACTCTGTTAAGTCCAGTTATGATAGCATTGTAGGTATTTATATCAGGAAAAACTCCCAATTTATTCATAACATTTAGCAGATCAAAGGCCTTCCGCAACTCACCAGTTTTACAACACTCCATTATAAGCATGTTAAGAGTAAGCTGATCAACTACAGTACCTTCTACTACCATCTTTTTCAAGAATTTAACACCTACTTCTAACATACCAGTCTCACAGAATCCAAGAATGAGAGAATGACATGTTAACTTGTCAGGCAAAAGGCCATCCCTCTTCATGATACTGTGCAACATAGAGCACATTAACAAATCCTTTTTCTTGGAAAAACCATGCAAGAGAATATTATAAGTAGCCAAACTAGGGCGCAGACCTCTGCTCCTCATTGTTGATAACAGATCATATGCCTTCATCATTTTTCCCATCCTTGAGAATCCATCTATAAAAGCATTAAGAGAAACAGTGTCAGGGAAGACGCCTTCCTTCTCCATTGCATCATAGATATACAGAGCAGCCTTTGATTGACCAGTCTTGAAAAGGCCATTAACCAAACAGGTAAGCATTACCTCATTTGGAACAGTACGTTTGTTAGTGTTTAAGCTAATGCCGGATGTGCAAAGAAAAGGAGAACAGAAGAAAAATTGATCTAACCTCATTAGTCAACAGAATCTGCATATTACATACTTTGGCTTATTGTTCCAACTACTGTCAATAACCTTTTACATAATCTCAGCTAAACCACACAAATCTAACAACTACATTACAAATTAGAGAAAGTTAGCTGAGTCATCAAATTCAAAAATAACACACAAGTTGACAAATAAAGCTTAAGCTACTGAACTTAAAACAGCACCATGCACGTCCACCTTGCAGCAGCAAGATAACTTCAAACTTTCGGCAGCAGCAAAACATACTTCCAGCACAGCATCAACCTTCATCACTCCACCTTGATGCTTTGGCTGGAAACACCAAGTTCCTGTCGTAAGGCTTCAAACTTGGATTTGCACACTGCCTTTGTCATAATGTCAGCAACTTGATCTTCCCCTCTGCACTGCACTAAGCTCACTTCTCCACTCTGTTCAGCTTCCCTAACAGCATGATACTTAATCTTGATATGCTTAGTTCTGGTGTGGAGCACAAGGTTCTTTGCCATTGCTAGAGCAGACTGGTTATCACATAGGATTAATGTAGGACCACCCTGCACTTGGTGCAAATCATCCAGCATTTTCCTAAGCCACACAGCCTGGTTCACGGTTGCTGTAGTAGAAACATATTCAGCTTCAGCAGTAGACTGTGCCACAGTTTCCCATTTCCTTGACAACCAACATATTGCATCCTTATTCAGATAAAATACATAACCAGAGGTACTTCTAGCATCATCCAGGGATCCACCCCAGTCACTATCAGTATACCCCAACAACTTTAGACTTTCAGCCTTTCTAAAACAGATGGCTAACATGCTGGTTCCTTTTACATACCTCAGCACACGTTTTGCTGCCTTAAAGTGCAGTTCACTTGGATTGCTCATAAATCTTGAAAGATAACTTGCAGTAAACATAAGGTCTGGTCTGGTGGCTTTGTAATATAGCAAACTTCCCAATAAGCTTCTGTATTTCCCTTCATCTACCCTTTCTGCACCATCAGTTTTGCTCAATTTCAGGTTGGGAACCAGTAGAGTATTCACTGGTTTACAATTCTCCATTCCAAACCTCATGAAAAGCTCGGTTGCATACCTCTGTTGATACACAAAAATCTCACTAGCAGTCTGACTTATCTCCATGCCTAGGAAGTACTTCATCAATCCCAAATCTGTCATTTCAAATTCAGTTTGCATGGCTAACTTAAACTAGTCCAATTCTTCAGGATTACTCCCTGTTACCAATAAGTCATCAACATAGAGGGAGACCACAGCCAATCCTCTTTCAGTTTTTTCTAATGTAGAGAGTGTGTTCATTAGGACTTCTAGTGTAACCAAGGCTGCACAAATGGTCATTTATTCGGTTGTGCCAGGCTTTAGGGGCCTGCTTCAAGCCATACAAGGCTTTCCTCAGCAGGTACACATAATCCTCTTTTCCTTCAACCTTGTAGCCTTCGGGTTGCTCTACATAAAGCTCCTCCGAAATCCACCCATTCAGGAATGCTGACTTGACATCTAGCTGGAAAATTTTCCAGTTGAACTGAGCTACAAATGCTAACAGCAACCTGATTATGTCTTGCCTAGCTATCGGAGCAAATGTTTCTGAAAAATCAATACCTGGTTGCTGTGCATAGCCCTTCACCACCAGCCTTGCTTTATGTTTGTAGATTGAGCCATCAGGATTTATTTTCAGTTTGAAAATGCATTTCACCTGAATTACTTTCCTTTTTTCAAGTCTTGATACTAGTCTCCAGCTTTGGTTTTTTATCAATCATGCTGAGTTCCTCTTGCATTGCAGCCCTCCACAAATCAGACTTTGCAGCTTCAAGGTAACATCTTGGTTCCACCACTGCCACATTGCATCTTTCGTACACTTCAGCCAGTGATCTTGTCCCTCTAACAGCATGTTCTTCTTCCTCATCTGAATCTGCCTCTTGAATCAGCCTCTCATTCATCTCTTCTTGTCTTGATTCAGCTTGCACATCAACTCTCTTTTCTTCCCAGTTCCAAACTCCACCTTCATCAACCTTTATGTCTCTTGTGATTACAATCTTCTTGGACTCAGGAATATAAACTCTATAAGCTTTAGAGTTGTTGTTGTAGCCTATAAGTATCCCAATTTCAACCTTATCATCTAGTTTGGACCTTTTGCTAGCTGGGATCATAACATAGGCTATACTTCCAAACACTTTCAAGCTCCCTACAACAGGTTTGACTCCACTCCATGCCTCAATTGGTGTTTGATGTTTGACTGCTTTGGTGGGTAGCATGTTTAGGAGTAAAACTGCTATGTTAATAGCTTCAGCCCAGAACACTTTAGAAAGGTTCTTTTTAGCTATCATACACCTAGCCATTGTCATAATGGTTCGGTTTCTTCTTTCACAAACACCATTCTGTTGAGAGGTGTATGGTGCTGTGAACTGTTGCTTAATTCCAGCTAGACTGCAGATTATTTTGAATTCATTTGAAGTATACTCTGTCCCATTATCACTCCTTACTGTTTTGATCAAGGTTCCAGTTTCATTCTCCACTAGCAACTTGAATTTGTTAAACACAGCAGCCACCTCATTTTTCTGCTTCAAGAAATACACCCAAGCCACCCTTGAGTAATCATCAATGAAGAGTACAAAATACCTGCTGCCATTGAAGGATTCAGTCTTCATTGGACCACACACATCTGTGTGGATCAATTGCAGCTTGTGACTTGTTCTCCAAGCTTCATCCGAAGGGAATGATGGCCTGCTAAGTTTGCCAAGTTGGCAGGCTGTGCACAAGATCCTCTTCTCCTCTATCTCGGGTAGATCTAACACCATGTCTCTTGTCTTGAGTTCTTTAATTCCTAAGTAGTGAAAGTGCCCAAGCCTTTTATGCCACAACTCAAACTCTTCAACCTTGCTGGTTAATGCCAAATTCACTGGTTTTTTCCATTCCAGTGGAAAGCTTTTGCTCAGCATCCTAACACTCATCAACTCATTTCCCTCACAATCCTTTATAATGCAAGCATGGTTTTGACACTACAAGAAAACTGGCATTCTGGGTCTAGCAAAATTAGACGCAGAAAGTCACATTTAGACGCTAAGCCATTTTTAGTGTCTAAATTTGGTAGTCGCCCCTTAGTTGCAATAGGCTGGTCACAGATTCATAGCGCATCTAAATTTTGGTTTAGACGCGAAAAGTTTTTTTTTGCGACTAGCAAAATAGTCACTAAATGCCGGTCAAATTAGTCCCCCAACTTAGATGCTAAAAGTTCAAGGGTAATTTGGTAAAATTGTATAGCGACTAATCAATTAGTTGCAAAATGTACGTTTTAGTGTCTAATAATTTATCGCAAATCCCACAAAAATTAGACGCCAAAGGTATAAGGGTAATTTCGTAAAAGATTTTTGTAACTATTTTATTAGTTGACAAATATATCTTTTGGTGACCAAAATTTAGTGGTATTGTAATACTTTTAGACGCTGAATGTAGAATCCAAACGGTTTAGTAGTCAAATAGTAAAAAAACAACATGATGCAAGAAGGCACATCAAACAATCCAAATGAAAGAAATAAACAAGAGGAAAAATCAGCAAACATGAAGAAAATTCGAACCAAAAAACACTACGGTATTGTTCCGATAACGTTACCAATCAGCCACCCTAAAAATGAAGAAAAAAAGTATACCTTCTCTACAGGTGCTCAACCCAAAACGCAAGATAATCCTCCACAAATTACACCCCAAACCAGTCTTGTCGGGACAGTTAACTATGATAACAATGGAGTCACCTGGCTTCTCGGCTTGACTTATTACTACAACATCTTCATACAATATCCCCATTTCTTGAACTCTGTTTTTTCACCTTCATAATAAGAAAAAGATATAAAAACTTACTGCAAACCTAGAC